AAGGAAAAATCGTAGTTAAGGCAACGGGAAACCACTCCATTAGATTTCCAAGGTATTTCACGCATAATTAAGTAAGTACTGAAGTATCATAATCGGATAACTCCTGGAGAGGCATAACATAAAAAAGAAAAATTGTCTTCCCTACTTGGAAGATTGTCGCAAAATATCTTCCTCCTCACAACTGACGTTGTGTCGTAAAAAGCTTAAAATAGTGAAAATTGTTTACCAATGTGTCACAGTCATATTCTTCGGTCGCCATTTCCATATTAAAATAAAAGTTTATAGCGCATATAGAAGTTTCTTAAGAAAAATGTTGCTTTGCGTTGGCTTGTAATGAGTAGTTTACCCTTGAGAAATTATACCGAAACAGGAACTTATATATGCAATGCAAAAAGTACGTGCATAAAAAAAACAGTCCCAGATTACAGTGGAATGTCATCGCACTGCACCGGTTGAATGCGCAAAGGTGAAAACATTAGAACTCCTCCTACTAGACAGACACACATTACGAATGCACACAACCATCCGATGGCCGATTAGACATATTCGGATTTTTACACACTTACCTACATATATAATTATCTATTTTTAATACACGTGACCCGTGTCTGACCAATTAGAACTGACTCAAACATAATTAAATATACCAAACTTCTGTTTGTCTGTTTTCTCTCAATCTTTGACGAAGCTTTAATAAAATTGAAATGCGTTAAATTAATATATGTTTCTTATTTTTTCTTTATCTTATCATCATGCCGGATTGCGATCCATATTTGATCTGCATTTGATCTTATCACACATATATATATATATATATATATATATATATATATATATATATATATATATATATATATATATATAGGAAGTGCAAGAGATGTCAGCATCAGAGTAACTGTATATAATCTAATCTTATATGACACTGCAAGTGATTTGCACCCTATTTATATCATTTGTATTCAGACTAATATCGACATTCTTTTTTTTTTTTTTGTTATTCACACAACGTTTCAGCTGTTGTTTCCTCCGGCATTCTTCCGGTATCTTTCGGTAACCCAGGTAACCCGCTGAGAAAATAATGACATAAAGAACATGTTGATTTTCCACAATGCTGCAAATAAAATGTTAGGAAGGAAACCCCTATCAATACTGGAAAGAGCAATAACAGCTACTGGACTTGAGATACTTATTTTCCTGACAAATTGTTTTAAAAGAAAGATTTTATAAATCTCAACTGGCAGCAGTACTGGCTTCTCGGTCATTGAATACCGAATGTTTCCTTATAAGGAAATGGCTAATATTACCATTAGCGTTCAGGGTACTTCGAGCTGAAATCTTTATTTAATTTTCGGTGGTAGATTGTTCTCGTTAAGCTGTCTACGTTTAAATGGATTAAAATGTTGTTTCGTAAATCCGGTGACATCATAAATGTGAGTTCATTTCTTTAGTCAGGTAGTGCATATTAGAATCAATAGAAACATGGCGAGCAGTATCTGAGCAGTACTAAATAAGAAAAAGATGAGATATCGGTAGACAATAAGGAGCATCACCCTGCCAAGAATTAATCTTTCATCAGGAATTGCACATGGAAACGACTTCACAGAGGTGACTGTTACTGCTCAGAATTCACAAGTATGCAAGTTACTTCTATAAATTATAAAAATATTTTATTTCTTCAATTTTAAAAATATAAATATCCTTACCTATGATACTCTTCAGTGAACTAAAAGTGATTAAGATTTGCGCAAATGTGAAAACTTCCAATTAAAATGAGTAACCTACAGGGACGTGTAACACCTGCTATCATTCATATGCCAGGCCAAAAGATTAAAATATAAAAGTGCACCTGCTATTCACATGCCACTAAATCTTATTCTTTGAATTTTGACAATTCCGTCTTTAAATTTATAACCTCGGCTTTTTCAGCCAATTTTTATGAAAGCATTTGGCACTTTTAAAGCAAATTATATTCAACGTACGTCTTGACTTCATCATTAGCATATCTTAACGCCTACCCTTTACTTTACACCAACAGAGAGAGAGAGAGAGAGAGAGAGTCAAGAGGCGAGAGTTGGTGTAATCATAATTCTTTTTCTTTAATTACAACAGATATATGATGGTGATTGTGGCTGGACTCTCGTACCCGAGTCGAACTAGGGCGGCTAGACAATCCCTGTTGAAGATGCCTACTTAGGCATATTTATGCTTGTTCAGCATCCACAGAGCCTACCTGTGATTTATATTGCAACTATGCTGAGCAGAATTTAGTTACAGTTTCTGGGAGAGATAGCATCATCTGGCGTGAACAATAGTCTGGAGAAGTCCATTACGCACAAACACTCGGCCACAATGACTTGTAACTTCGTGCTAGAAAATAGTTCCGTCTACCCAATTTCCATCACAGGACTTTGGCCGACCAGTGGTGTGGTTTTCAGGCATCAAGATAACATCAAGAAGTCACCTTTCTGATGAATCGATCAATAGATTGATGACCATAATATCCAACTGCAGATAAATCTAGATCACAAATTGGTGCATGGATGATTGTTGTTTTCTCTATTTGTATTAAAAGACAAGATTGTAATAGCACCTGTTAGGGTCCCAGCTAAGGGCAAATAGTGAACGCTCCAAAACAAAAACCAACAGTCTATTTTTTATGATAAAATGGCCAAGAATGCCTTTCTATAACAAAAGGACAATCAATGCAACACTAAAAGAATATACAAATACATTTTTATCATAAAATAATTAACACTATATTTTATGATCTACAAACTGTATATCTAAAAAAAAAACATTCTTTTACCCCGAAAGTAACATTTTTTACAAAATATCTGCAGTTGAAGGCATAGAATTACGTCCAATATATTTAGAATTCGAATTAAATAACTAATAGAGGTTGATATGCCGCTAAAATTAACCAACTAACAATGCCTATTTATAGTAAAGTTATTAACAATACATATTTAATACGAAATGACCAACACTGTAGTTGAAAACATTCAATTACGTTCAAAATATATTTAGTTGAAGCCATAAAATTGTGTTAGAAATATTTAGATTTCGGCATTAAATAACCCATAGAGGTTCATATGCTAATAAACAAAATCGACCAACCAACCAACCAACCAATGTGAGTGAGTTCCCGTCTTTAAAGTCATATCTTCCTTTTGAAATAATTATTGTTATTGCTCTTTCTAGTATTGATGGGATTTCTTATTTTGCCTTTTATTTGTGGTAGTGTGGAACGTCAACATTTTGATTACGTCATTATTCTCTCTTCGAGTTACAAGTGTTATTCATTTCAGTTGTTGCTTTTGTTTCTCAAGTGATATGGTTTCTGTTATTTGTTACAGTTATTTGTTTGAGGTTCTTTTTCTTAAAGAGTTGGTCAGAAAGTAAGATATGTTCATTAGTATTAAAAGCACACAAGTATACCAAAATGAAAATAGAAATCCCAGAATTTCGAGTCCTATCTTTCGTTTTCTTTCTTCTTCGTTATAGCATTCTAACTTTAAATGAGGAAAAATATTCCCTGCTACGTTGCAGCTACTTGAGTGCTTTTTGAGCCATGTACGAATTACCTCTTTCGTCCCAATATCTTTGGAGAACTGATCTCCTGTGAGTGTCATCTGTGTGGTGCAGTCCCAGGTATTTTGGGATATCAAACATTCTTCATGGCGTCTGTCAGCATTCTGGGAATACACTTTGTATATATTATTGAGTCGCAAGAAGTTGCAGTACCATGATTTCAATGAAGACTTTCACTGTGTTTTGCAATAAAGATTCTTCTGTCAGTTGTAATTCGTCAGTCCTTTTTGGTTGCATCTACATTTACGGTAGCAGCTGGCTTATCCTTACTGTACTAATCACTAAGTTCAGCTTCTTTCTTTCTAGCATTACCATTATCTCTACTAATCAGCCACTTTACTGGGCTTATACTAATTGCAGCCTTTCCGTTAATATTCACTAACCTTATATGAATGTTTTCAGCGCTTTCACCACCCAAGAACAGAAATCCTATGGCAGCTCTTGGCTTTGTACATGTGTGTAGACGGACAGACATTTAAAAAAGGATTATGATAGAGAAAAGAGAAGGAAAATCCACAAATTTTCAGTTAGGCTTCTAGACACTTTATAGTTATTAGGTAAAAAGAGAAAAAAAACTGGTAATTCTGACTAATACTTTTAAAAATAATGCAGACATGCTTCCATCAGAATGGCTGATGCTAACCTCCAGAAGAGCAACTTATTACACCTTTTTGTTCTCAGGTTCTCCACTGACATGAAGTGGAGCGATTATATTGAATTAATGCCGCTAGGAAAATCTGCTCACTGTGTCGCGCCAGACAATTTTTCTCATTAGAATTCAGCTTAGATATTTATAAATATAAATATACCATTCGTCTATGCATTGAATATTTCTGCTATATTTGATTTGGTGATCTTGCTATATATCTCGAAATTCTGGACAAAATCCAAAGTGTCTGCAATGTTAACAGTCTTGACCAGACATCTCGCCCAGACAATTTTTTCACCACCATGACATTTTTCTATAAATATATTCATGTCAGTTGTTCTAATGAAGCCTCCTCCTTGAAAACTCGATTGCATGAATTTAAGCGCAATACTAGATTGGCAATTAGGTCTCATAGTTTTCCTATTGAATTAGCTAGATGTAACCGCAAGTTCTATTCTAATAGTCTCTTTTCTCGCCTATAAAACTCTCTTCCGATTTTTTTACTTCCCTGTCACCTACTACATTCGAAAATTTAAATTCTATGTCAATCACCAACTTGTTTTCTTGGCTCATATTCTTTTATTGTCCTTTCTTCTCAACCAAAGTCTCTTCATTTTCTTTCACTACCAGTAACCTCTTGCGTCTTAGTGACATTATCGTCTTGCTTGGGATGAAATGATTATAAAAAAATACTTTCTAACTGACCCTGGTATGATTCTTATTATAAAATATTTTTACATGCAAGATTCATCTCTTAAAAATGGCTAGCTGCTCGTTTCCGAGTATGTCCGTCCCCGTTCTGACACATTTGTGTTTCTTTAATAGCTTCTGGACCAGCCCATGGTTTATTCCGCAACTATGTTGAGTGGACCTCAGGATATTTTACAAGTTCTGGGAGGGATTGTGAGAAGAGTTTTGAACAAGTCTCAAGCCTTCGGTCACGTGTGACTTCGTTCTAGCGCAAACATTGATGAAACAGTTTCAAATTACGCAGTTTAAAAAATCTCACGGCTTGGGTCATCACATGGTATGCTTTTCAGACACACCTAAACAGTGCTGCCCCCTGGAATCGTTTCCTTCGGGCAGTATTTCACCGCTTTGAAAAAATCGACCCTGGTGAGATTCGAACTTGGGTCTCGTGTTTCTTATATAAAACAATTTCATCTAGTTTAATAATAAACGGAAAAACCGACCTCTTTGTAATTATGTGTTTTGTTTATTGGGAAAATAGATTAATCTCTATACTGTCATATATCTTGTGCCATACAAATGTAAATTCAGCAAAGATCAAAACAGTATTTATCTTCATAATATTTGCAGAGGTCAGTGTTTGAACCTAAGTAAAAGCCAAGATTTTGAATGCGAATTTTCTTGGTACGCAGACAAAGACATCGCTATTACGCATAATCTTTCTGTGTACGAACCATTAGACTTGTGAGTAGTAAACAGAGTTGTGGTAGTAGAATCAGTGCATTTACGTTGAAAGGCTTTACGCTCGTTCGTTGAATGTCGACGCAGATGAAGAGACTTTTACTTATTTATATCTAACCTTGATTTGATTATTTCTCGTTGCAGATTACTTTCTATTTAGCATTTAACTTTTTTTTAATGAGTTTCCCTTATTTTTTCTAATTTTGAGATAATTTATTTCTTTTTTTATTTTTTTACTTTTCTCATTTCATTTTTAGAGTCTTTTTTTTTCTATTTACCACCAACTGAATTTTTTTATCTATTTCTTATTATTTTTTTTTTATCATTTTTTTCTTTTTTTTGTCTCTTTCTTTTTTATTATTTTTCTTTTTTGTATTTCTTTCTGTCTTTTTTTCGATTTTTGTTCTCTTTTTTTCGTTTTTCGTCTCTTTTTTTTTGTTTCTTTCATTTTTCGTCTCTTTTAATCTTCATCTTTCGTTTTGTGGTCTCTTTAGTTTTTCGTCTCTTGTTTTTTTTTTTCTCTTTCTTTTTTCGTCTCACTTTTTTTCTTCGTTTTTCATCTCCCATTATTTTTCTATATTTCTTTTTGTCGCTTTCTTTCTTTAATCACTACTTTTTATTTCTTTTACTCTATATCTCTCCCTCTCTCTTTCTATGCCTGCTTATCTCTCTTCCTATATTCCTTACATTTGTCATTCTTCTTTCTCATTCATTCTATTTTTATTTTTCTGTTCCGGCCATCTTCCTTTATATTTGTTTTTTCCGCTTTCTTTTTTGGTTCGGTTTTCACTTTCTGTCTTCATTATTCTTCCTTTAGTTTTTTTTTTTTTTTTTTTTGACGTAATTGCAGTCTTTCTTTCTTTCTTTAGTTTTTATTTTCTTTTAGGTAAATGCAGTCTTTCTTTCTTTCTTTTGTTTTTATTTTCTTTTAGGTAAATGCAGTCTTTCTTTCTTTCTTTTGTTTTTATTTTCTTTTAGGTAAATGCAGTCTGTCTTTCTTTCTTTCTTTTGTTTTTATTTTCTTTTAGGTAAATGCAGTCTTTCTTTCTTTTGTTTTTATTTTCTTTTAGGTAAATGCAGTCTTTCTTTCTTTCTTTTGTTTTTATTTTCTTTTAGGTAAATGCAGTCTTTCTTTCCGTAGTTTTTATTTTCTTTTAGGTAAATGCAGTCTTTCTTTCCGTCTTTCTTTCTTTAGTTTTTTATTTTCTTTTAGGTAAATGCAGTCTTTCTTTCCGTCTTTCTTTCTTTAGTTTTTCTTTTCTTTTAGGTAAATTCAGTCTTTCTTTCCGTCTTTCTTTCTTTAGTTTTTCTTTTCTTTTAGGTAAATGCAGTCTTTCTTTCCGTCTTTCTTTCTTTTGTTTTTATTTTCTTTCACGCAATTGCAGTCCTTCTTTCCGTCTTTCTTTCTTTTGTTTTTATTTACTTTTACGTAACTGTCTTCTTTCATTTACTATTCAATGTTTTCCTTTTATTTTTAGCTTTTTTTTTCTTATTATAATCACTTTATTGCTCCTTTTGTTGTGTCTCCTTGTGTTTCTCGAGTTTGTCTTTTTTCTTTCTTCTTCCATTTTTTTTTCTTTTCTCTGTCACTCTCACCCTCACGATTCATTTCTATTCTCCACACTTCCAATTTTGTCATACGTACTAACAGCTCTTGTTTCTACATTAGCGAAAACAAATTCAAGCACGCCAAGTCAACCAACAAACCGACAGCTTCGCCTTTCGGCGCATTGGTTCGATAATAGGGTACCGAGTAAAAGGAAGGACTTAATTAACAATCCAGCTGGGGACAATTAACATTTTTGCCATTTTGATACAGTTGAAATATGAAAAACAGTCATGCAGAAAACACTTTCCTAAAATACACGTCAACTAAGAGATGAACACACATAATTATAATGCAAGTGACTTAAACAGGTTTCTGTTTTAGTCGATGGATTATCTGTCTTCCAAAAAATGTTTATTACGTCATCTGGCCGGGAATAACACTGAAGTCAAAAAAACTCTCACTATCTTTTTCTCTCTTTCTTTCTTTCTTTTTCTTTCTTTTTGTTTGTTTCTTTCTTTCTTTGATTATGCAAACTCCATTGAAAATCTTGCTGGGAGATCACCAGCGATATCTGATGGTTGTAGCTAAACTCTCATACGTTAGCATTTCAAGTACTCTTTACTCGTAAATTTACACCCGATTATAAGAAATATCTGGTGATTATTTACAGAGGTCTCTGTCAAGTAGCTGCATTGTGAATTGATACAAAGACGAAATCTCGTTTGCTATATTTCATGGAAAAAAACAAGCCACAAAAAGAAAGGAAGAAAAAAAGAAAGCAAATATGAATTATTAAAAGAGTGGCAAAAGAACAAAAATAAATAGGTATAGGGAAGTCAGAACTTATTGAAATTAATAGGAAAAGAATAAAGAAAGAAAAGGCTAAAAAGATGGAGTAACAAAAAAACAAAAAACAAATTGAAACAAACTTCATAGGAAGAAAGAAAACCAATGAAGAGAAAGAACCAAAGCAAACAGAAATGGAAAGAGACATAAAAAGAAAAAATGAAAATTATATCAAAAATACAAAGAGAAGAATGAAAAGATTTTTCGTGTATCAAAGCCCAAACTCGTAAGCAGCTGGAACAATTCAATATATTTAAATTTGCATCCTTTGTGTCATCATAATAAAGCCGTTACGATTTCGGTTACAAGGTTTTAACCCCGGAACACATGTTCCTTATTTGAAAATATCAAATAAGGAACATGAGTTCAAATCTCGCAAAAGGTTTATTTTTTAACTCCGTAGAACACTGCTTATTGTTTTTTTTTATTATTTTTTTGTTTTTACAGCATTTATAAGGCCTGGGGGCCACTCGAGGTAGAGGTTTACGTTTTGGAGGCGACTTTTGTCTATAAGAGTGGAATATAACGGTTAATTCTAGCCTTGAATAGGTTAAGATTGTAATGATTGGGGAAACATGCAGTTGAGAGTTGTTCGAGATGAGAAGCTCCTCGAATGGAACTTCTCACTAATGAAATATGGAGGGAATGTGGGTGGTTTGATACTATGTAAGTGGCATGGTGTGGGAAGGTTTGCTTCGGCGGGACTAGGAAATGTGGTTCGTTCGAACGTTTTCCGTGGAAGTAGGGATAGAGCAGCATGAGGCATGCCACATCCCGCCTATGGGAGAGAAGTTGAAGGGTGGAGAATTATTCGTCACCCACAAAGGCTTGGAGACGCTTTTGAACTCTATCAAGGCTGGAGAGTGAGGTTTGGGCAGCTCCCGCCCAAGTATGAAAACAGTACTCCAGATCTGGCCAGATCTGGCTCTTGTAAAGGTAGAGGGTAGCAGGAAGGGTCAGATACCTACTGCTGCGGACTATTTTACCTGCATCCTTATCAATGGATCGTATGTACAAGTTTTACTTGAGGTTGGGTGTGAGTTCGTGGCCCAATAGTCTTACAAGGCGCCGGTGCTTCCCCGGTAGGACCTCAGTTCATACTGATTGGTGGTAGTCCGGGGTCAGATCGTTGATGATGGAATGTAAATAGCTTGGTCTTCTAGGTATTGAATGTAACCAGCTAGTTTTTACCCCAGTGGGTTGTTCGTGTAAGATCGGAAGAAAGATTAGTCGCCAATCTCTGGCCATCGAGAGTTTTAGCGGTGCTCCCGCAGTGATTTTTCAAGCGTAGCTTAGATCTGGTACAAGGCCGAAAGAATGGGGCACCCAGTGAGAATCAAACTCACTACTCAGTCGTAATTGTTCTTGCGAAAGAAACTTGCTAACTATTACACCGCCTCGAGGTGCCCAAAGCGGTGCTCCCGTATATAGCTGTAAGAATTACAATCTGGGAATTGGGGTAAAAAGCAAAAGAAATAAGATGAATGAAAGACTAGTCAAAATTAATAATGATGATAATACTTCATGTAAGAAATTTGTAGACTTTTTCATAATCTAAACAAAATAAGATATGCAGATGACAGTGTATTGATGGCAGACACAGAAACTCTTCGACAAAGTAGTAAAAGAAAGCGAGAAGCAATGATTAATCATCAATTGTTATAAGACAAAATATACCATCGTATAGACCAGACAAGAACACATATAAGTAGAAGTAGGCAACTGCTAGAAGTGAGTCAAGTAAATTCCACAATGAATCTCCAACTGCAGGATATCTACCAACTGCTCTACGCGGTCAGATGTGGCACAAGGCCAAAATTAATGTGAGGTAGACCATGTATAAATCCGTGTCGGGTAGCTGTTTCCCGGGACGAGACTATGCCCTTCGACATAGCTTCGTCTGGGGATCCTCTCTGCCCGGAGCCACACAACTGGAGACGAATCTCCAACTGCAGACCAACATACAGTATTTACTATTGTATTTATGTGAATGGGGACATATTATCATCTATAGGTATGCTACAACATGGAGATATCAGAATGAAGCAGGCACAGTAATCATAAATTTAAATGTCTGAGAAATGCTAAAACAGACCACGTGGCATTAAAATCCGAAGGTACACTGAAATAGTGAAAAATGTTTTCTAAAACTAAAGAAAGTATTAAAAAACGGGAAAATGTCGTTAGAAATAAAGAAAAGAGTACTTAACTGATATATAATATTTATTCTTCTATATGGCAGTGAATGTTGGACAATTTATACACATGAAGAGACTTGAGGTAACAGAGATATGTTTCTACACATGGATGCTGCGAATATCATAGAGGAATATTTGAGTTTTCAGAAAAATGAGAATGAAAAGAATACTTGAGCTTAAAATCAGAAAATCTTCTGTTGCACAAGTTAAGGATCGACCACTTCTTGCATGGAATTTACGTGAAAGTGTATATAATAGACACAACGGGAATCCGAACTCGGCTCAAAATTTTCACGTTTCGACACGTTATCCATTACCCGATTAGCACACCGCGGATAATTACATCGTGTTATCGCTCACATGCAATAGCATTTATTTGCTTATCAATATTCAGGTGCAAATAACTTCTCGTCTCAGAGATGGTGTAAATATAATAACCAAGATATTTTTAGTTTTGTTTTTTATGGCTTATCAACTGTTTTGGTGTTATTTAAAGCCCGAGCGTATTTTGGATTGTAAGATGCATTTTTTTATTGAGTGAATATTGCATTAACAATTTTTTGAGAATAAAAATGACTCTTTGACATTCAAGTCCTACTATTTAACCCATAGCTGGGGTAGAGATGAATCCATACCTTTCCCAAGGATATTTTCGTGTAAGTGAATGTAACGAACATGAATTCGAACTTGGCTCTCCAATGTCTGATTCCACTATCCATTACACCACACGCACATCCGCAACAGCCAAAATGAGAACGCTTGTCAGAGTCGTACAAATAATGTAAATAATAATTCCTCGCCGCAAGAACGTTGTGTATATAAGAACCATGATGAGGAAAATGGTCTGAATGGTGCTAAAATGAGGAAAGGAGGCTTGGCAATGACAACGCTTACAGGAGAGGGAAACAACAAATAACCTTTCTAACGAGCTTCATAGCAGAACCTGAACTGTGAAAGACCGTAATTGTATTTAAAAGAATGCTTAGGCTACAAAAGATAAGAAATTGGGGAAAGCCATGACCGCCTACATTCTGAAGTGGCAAGATGCATAAAAGAAGACTACTACTACCAAGTAAGTAGGACACTAGTGCGCGCAGACACTGAACTACATACTATCACAGGATTTCCAGATTTGGACTACAAATAACAAGCTGGGCCACTTTTAAAAGCTAGCCGCTACTGAATTGTCGATTGACTTTCTTCTGATTAAAATCACCAGTTAGTTTTTTAAAAGTAGACGAACACGTTGTTAGTAGCGAAATTCAACATTTATTAGCACTCGACCAGACCTGTGCTATCATGCGTAGACAGTGATCTACATATAGGTTTTTTCTATATTGCTACAAGGGGTACTGAGGCGTGGACATGAATTTATATTTACACAAATTAGTGTTCTTATAAATACATACGCACAGAAACACATACGTATACACGGATAAATTCACACGTGTTTTCACGCTTCATGCACTAAAATATATATCTCTTTAAAGAGATGTATTCACACGTGTAAAAAACACCAAAAAATATGTAGATATCAATACATGGGTAAACCAGAAGCGAGTTACACACATATACAAAGGTAGCGGAACACACACACACACACACACACACTCATATATATATATATATATATATATATATATATATATATATATATATATATATATATATATATATATATATATATATATATATATATATATATATATATATATATATATATATATATTATTATTATTATTATAAAAGTTATTTTAGTGGGTATACGTATCCCTGTGTTTTATTTTCTTGAACAGTGACATTAATAACAACTCTTACAAAAAAATTGTACTTTCAACAGGAATCAAATCAAGGAATAGTAAACTATATATACATACATACATACATACATACATATATATATATATATATATATATATATATATATATATATATATATATATATATATATATATATATAGTCTCACTCTGCAAAGACCGTTCATTCTCAATTTGTTCTTTACTCGATGTTCTACAGGTTCGACCTTGTGCCAAATTTGGTTTGGTCCAACAAAACTACATGTGTTAAGTTTGATAAATGTCTAAATTGTTAGTTACTCTTTAAAAATTGTATTGAAATTGTTCATACTTTTTAATAATTTTCAATTCCTTTTCAATTTTCTATGTAATATCATTCCACCACAATGGTAGTGAATGCTGGATAA